CCCCCCCCCCCCCCCCCCCGATTACCTTTCATACACTTAAAAAAAAATATTTATGAAAGGTTATCAGATTCTACACTTGGAACTGATTTATTCTTATAGTTTAAAGAAGGCTCCTGTAATTTATTTGATGTTTATAATATACTAATGTTTCACTGTTTTGTCACATGTGGTGTTTTTTGATTTCCTCATAAACTTGCTGATGGGTTGTGAAAACTACTTGACTGTGTTGGTAAAATAGCATCATGATTATAAAAACACCAACTGGAGCAGTTCATCCATGAATGTGGACGTTAACTCGCTGGTCTGAGCTGGGACGAACACACCATCTCTTCTCATCAACCTGCTGAGTATTGTGTGGATATTCAAATGTTGTGTAGTTTTGTTCACCCAACATCTATTGCAAATATTCACAAACATACATATGTGTGCACATGTCCGTATGTGAGATTTCCTACATGTATTCCGTTGGCTGGATGTTATCTTTTTTTCTTTTTGTTACATGTGGGAACCCCATATCCTCTATTAAATGTGGTATACTCTAAAAAAGCAGTTTTCTCCTCAAAAATGACATGAAATGAAAAAATATAGAGACAGATGGATTTTCAGCACCGGTGCGTTGAAAACACTGAGCATTCAGTCCACGTTTGGTGTTAATCTAAATGCTTTTTTTCTATTATTGACATGACTGTTTGTGAACAGGAGTAACATGTACAGGTACCCATGGAAATATGAAAATGCTAAGAACCTAAATGCTATTCAGTTTGGTAACAGAAATGCTGATGATTGCCTGCGCTGGGTGGTGGAAGACAGGACAATGAGTTGCCGTGATGGGGAAATGTGAGAGCAGACACACTGTAATCAGCCTGTCCATCTCAACACTGGGCTTCAATTACTTTCCAGATCCTCACACTATACCTTCCCTCTGTTCCCTCTTCACTCAGAACCCAAACAACTGGTTCTAACAAAATGTCATTGTATCAGATCGACACCCATGAAGGGAAATATCACGTAATTCTGATGCAATGTACTCAAAATATGTAAAGAAAAAGCAAGACACTTTCCTCAGTTTCTTGTGTAGGAGTGCACATGGCGACATAGTCTTCAAGGCCAACAGTGGAGGTATCAGTAGATGGACTGCAGTGTAGGGAGACAGGACATCACATCTAAGAGTGGTGACGGATCCTCGAATGTGCTGAGTGACATTTCTACTTAATGTCGCTTTAAAATGAAATGTTGACATAATCAAATATACTGATACCATGGTCAACAAAGATTAGAAGTTCACAAAAGGCTGTTAGTGTTAATCTCTGTCCTAATTTCACACACGACTCATTCTGAAAGGTCATAGCTGGTGATATACCAGATTTAATACCGTCAACCCTTGCAGTTTTTTTTAACGCAGTGCTGTTCAGTCTGAACACCTGGTAACACCTGAAAAATATAGCTTTGTTCATTAAATGTGTACTATGTAGATACTAAAGAACGTGTTGCTCGTTGTTGCCCCAATTACACAAACAAAACAAATCTAAATTCAGATGAACTTCTGAATGCAGACTGAGGTTGTACACATACCAATAAGTAAGTGTACATGGGAGTTGCAGTACAGTGCTAAATCCTTAACCACCTGAGTAAATGTGTGATCATACTGTACACACAAGAATGAAAGCGAATAATTGAAAGTTGGTTTGCCCTCCTGTGTTGCTTTTATGTAAATAAAGCTCTAACTTAGATTCAGTGGTTGTCTAGTGTTAGTCCCCGTGTTTAAAGATCTCATTTCATCTGGATGTAATAGAAGGTTCACGTCTTGTGTTTGGGTTATTGTGGCTGAGGTGGTTCTTGGTTACATTTGGATCACAGACTGTGCCTTCAAAGTTCTTCTGTGTGAGCAGATCAAACCACAAAACAGAGTGATGGGAATTCATTTGAGCTTGTTTATTTAGGTTATGTACAATAAAGCTTCATCACATGAGCCTTTTGAAAACTGTGTGCCACATCCCTCACATACACAATGAGGAACAAACACCATCTCAACCTGCTGAAAGCCGTGGTGGAAGAGCACATTGTAACAGATGCAGCAGCAAAAGCAGCGCCTATCAGGCCAAAGGAGGGGTTTACGGAGCGAACGCCTCCTCTCGGGTTCTCATTGGTCCCCCTCAGGTTACACTACCAGACTGGTGGGCACACACTACATGTGTTTAAAGAAAACAGCAGAGGAGTCAAAGACATGGGGATTCATTCCTGATTATCAGCTTCATTTCCTACAAAAATATTGCACAAAAATCTGGATATACAGGGACAGAGATTGACAAGTATAGCAGCCAGCAAGCCAATATCCACATGAGCAACATATCTCTTACACAGAAAAGAACAGGGACTGTGTGGCTGCTTCTTACAGATGACTTCTCTTGTTGCATTAGCTTGGATAAGTCCATTTGGAGTCTCCTTACAGTTATGGAGAAATCTACCCTCTGGTATCTCAAGAAAACCGTAGTCTTAGCCCTAATGCAGTCCTTTCCCAAACCCCAGTACTGGTACTATCTTAACATGTACTCAAAACAAACTCATTTGTACATGTGCTGGAAATATGTCATGTAAACAAAAAGAAAGGACATCACCTCCAAATTGTTTTTGAAAATGTTCAATGTTCCAGGGTAGATTTTTTCAAAGATATGCAAGAGTAAGCTCTTCCCTCCTCAACGATTCTTACCATTGGGTCTCTGAAGGTGTAACCGATAAATGAACAGCAGAGCATTGTGGAGCTGGAGCTGGTCCTGATAGAAACACTGACACAGGCTACATTCATTCTTGATGGTTAGCAAGGAAATGGGGGAAGGCAGTGCCCAACAACTGTATATACACAAAACACAGAAAGAGCTGAACATACATTCATTTGGGCATGAAAACAACTCATGAAGGCAAATAATCTGCACTAAATTACATCATAGCTTCTTGAAGCATGAAAATTATCATCTTCATACAAAAAAAACACACACGCACTAAACCAATTTAAATACATGTTGGGAGAGTTTTTACATCTTGAGAGCTCCTGGGTAACATTCATTCAGAGATTAATCAAAAAAGTCAATTATGTATCAAATACCCCCATGAAGTTTTGATTGAGTTTCAGAAGTTGATGGGGTGTAAAAGATGCGACTTAGCGAGACATAACAGAAATGGTTAAGAAATGGATTAATTACAACGCAGGACAATTACCTCCTTAACCCCTCCGAGGGAAAAGACAAGACATGGGTAAGATGTAAAACATGTTGGCCTTACCAATAGAAACAAATACACCAAAAGAAAGAGTAAAACCATATAGAAGACTCACTCCACTAATGACTATGCAGCTGCTGGAATCCCAAAGAGGTTAGTGAGCAGGGAGAATTCAAATATATTACTGTAAAAAACAACACGCAAAACTAAAAATATGTATGACAGCTTGCTTAATAAAAACATAAGGTCCCGTTCCACTAAGGTGGATGTCTAAACCTTCTTTTCCCCGGTAGTATTCACTGTTATTTACTCAAATATTTCACCTTCATATCAGTTTGTTACTCACAGGAAACAAATATTGAACAATTATTTTCCTTCCCCAAAGTTAAGATGATTCAGACGAGTAGACCACAGAAATGTGTACATTTTCTTAAGTCCTTATGTCAAAGCAGTTAGACAAGAAAGCAAACTGAATCCATTGCTTACAACGACATTTTGAAGCTGCAGAAAAACAAAACTGGAGGACACACATGCAGCACTACTGAGGGCAGATAATAATGGAGCTCTCAAGCTTCCCTTAAAAAACCAAGAGCATGGAAATAGCATCATATTGTGCAAATCAAGACACCAATAACATGAATCTTTAGGGAGGGAATTCCTTTACCCAGCCTGTCTTTTTCTCACGAAACGTGTGAATCAAACACTGGACCCCAACATACCCAATATTTCAAATGGACTGCTGAAATTCCCTAATCCCCATAAACAAACTGGACACAATGTAATTTGGAGGCACGAGTCCCAAGTCCACGTTTCCTCTTCTTTCTCCTTTCTAGTCTATTTAGTGGAGTGCCTCCACACAGATCTGCTCCTCCGTAATGTCATCCAGCAGTTGCACCTCCACGGGGCTGCATATGTCACTGTCATAGACCTCTGTCCCCATCAGGGCCTCTTCCTCCAGGCCTTCTGCTTTGCCTTTAAAGCCTTGCTGCTCTGAAGGAGAGGTGCTCTCCACTGACTCCAGGTCCTCAATTCCTGCTCGGTAGTGGATCATTAGCAGTGTGAGGGCCTGGAGTCTCTCCCCAGACTTGGCCAGGGCAGTACTAATTAGGGCCTTGCGCCGGGCATCTGTGGCCTCCCTCTCCTCCAGCAGCAGGGCGTTATTGTGCTCCAGCTCCTGGTCAATTTCCTGCTGCAGCTTGTCCAGCATCAACTCAAGCTTCTGAGAGCGCTCATCTGTGGGCAGCCCCCGGTACAGGTCGCGGCCTATCTCCTTCACCGCAATGAACACACTGTCATCTAACCCACCTTCCTTGCGTACAAGTTTATTACTGCCACCACTGCCAACAGGCTGCTTTGAGGGGCTGGCGCCACTCGTGTAGGTCTCAGTATCGCTGCTCTCATTGTCTGAAGTGTTAGGCGTATGCTTAGGTGAGGGCTCCACCGCTCCAGGCACCACATCAGCCACCTGCTCAACTAGCCGAGTCTTGGGCACCTGGCGGAGGTTAAGCAGGCGGGAGCTGGTGTTGATAATATGACGCGTGAGGCCAGTGGTGGCCCGGTTAATGGTGGATTTGGCTTCAGGGTCAGCTCCGCGACGTTCAGTTGCTGCCACACAGAAGGGATTTTCAGCGAGGCACTTGTCCTGGCATTTCTTGTGGCAAACGTAGGCGCAGATCATACACTGAGAGGCTGCCTTGGTCCAAACCTTCTTCTTGCAGTATTCACACCACGTGGGGTTCTGGAACTGGGTGTCCTGGAAGTTGTGACGAAGCTCCGCCAACTGCATGGCGCTGTAGGCCAAGTCATCACGCTGTGCAGTGGGGATATGCTCCCTCTCCCTTAGATCCTCATCCTGGAGACTCCCCTCTCGCTCCCTTTCTGCCAGCCCTCCTGGATACTCAAAGTCACCCTCAGCTGCGTAACAGAAGTTCAGAGTAACATCTCCATAACACAGCTTCTCATTGAAGCCCTTGTGGCTGCTGAGGCTCCGTAGCGCAGTGCGACTGACATTAGCTCTGGGCTCTGGAGGCCCCAACCTGAAGGTGCTCTGGTACTCAGCTGAAGATGTGGCCATACATTCCAGGGCTATATGCTCCAGCTGGAGGCTGACATGACCCAGGCACAACAAACTGCCCAGCTTAAAGGGATCTTTGCACCACAGAGCTACATTAAGGTACTTATGGTTGCCCTCTACCTCAAACAGGACAGAGGCCTTAGGCCAGCGTGCTGTCTGGTTACGAAACATGGTTTCTGGGGATTCCCAGAGGGAATGGTCCTCTAGACTGTCCCGTGTGCTGCAGGAGCTCTCTGATGCTTTGTCCTTTGCATGATCAGCTTTGTTGCTGCTGGTCACAGTGGAAGGGACTGGCAGCTCATCACTGGACTCTGCCGGCCTGGTAGACTGCTTTGCCTCAGCCTGTTTGACACATATCCTCTCCGTGCTGATCTTATCTTCATTGGCTCCAGTCAGAGGAGATTTTTCTGGAGATTTTTCAGTAGTGCTGATGGTGTTAGTCATAGTAGGAACAACAGGGACATTAGTAGTTGTAAAAGAATCAATGCCTTCCAAAATACTGGTTTCTGAGGAGGCTGATGTCAACCGTATCTGAGGTCTTGGCGGCACTGGGGGGCGAGAAGGAGGAGGTGGGGGAGGGACAGTGGGGCGTTGCAGACCCTCCATTGGATCACTATGGGATTTATGTGGTGAGGGCTTTGGTGATTCTTTGGGCTGGGGCTTTAGTGGTGACTGGAGACCAACCAGGTTCAACTTGCGGTTAAGGATGGGTGATATGGTACCAAGGGGCTTCGAGGCCAGGTTGGCCACAGTCCTTTTGGGGCTTTGGTTTACTGTAAGTAAGGAATCCTCCTTAGTATCACTGGTATTTGTGGTGCTGCTGTTAGGGCCACCAGTCTGGCTAAGTTTGGAGTCTACAATCAACTCTTCAAACTCAGAGTCCATGTCTTTGCTGTCGGATATGTCAGAAAGGGTGGTGATGGGGGCTGGGTCTTCCTCAAAACCCCCTGGCTGCGAAATAAAACCAGTTTCCTCCAGCTGCCCAAATCCCTCCTGAAGAGTCCCAAGGCTTCCATAAGAGGAGGGAGTCTGGTGACGAACAGATCTCTCATAAAGTACCACCACCCGCTCTCCAGCCTGCTTCAGCAGTTTGGGCACTTGAACCGAGGATGTTACTTTGACACCTGTCAAATGTTCAAGAACAGGAAAAAAAAGGTTTCCATCAGTAGTGTGAAGAACAGACATTTTCGAAAATGTTTTGCTGACTAACAATTACCAAACATTTCAAACCTCCTATGGCGATGAGACGATCACCCCTCTGCAGGTCTGCCAAGGCAGCAGGAGAGTTGGGCGTCACCGTCTCAATGCTGACATGCACCGCATCCCCCTCACTGGCAGGAACGTGCCTGAACGTCATCCCGACGCTGCCACACGGCCCCTTGATAACCTCCGTCTGATGCATACATGTAACAAGAGAAAAGATACGATGAAGACTGGAATTCATTTAAAGGTCATAGGCCAAGTTCATAACTCTTCTACTTGATGTAGTGATAGGATTGTGGTGTGCAAGAACATGAATTATCAAAAGCAAGAGGTTAACTCTCCCTTTTTCACTACAAAGCAGCACTTATTTATCCTAATGTTTCTAACTTTATTCACATTTATGGTATATTATAGATATTAAGAACTGGAGGATTTGGTGAATAGTAAATTTGTATAGTGCCTTTCTAGTCTTCCGATCACTTAAAGCACTGTACACACCCGCACACACACACACACACACACACTTCTTGCCCAAGGTCATTTCGACATGTGGACTGGAGGAGCCGGGGATCAAACCGCCGACCTTCTAATTGGAAGACGACCCGCTCTATCCCCGAGCCATAGCAGCAGAGATCTGAGCATACTGTGTTTTGAAAGACGCATTTGGTCCACGGGATTTCGGAAAGGGTGGTTGTAACATTGTTTGCTTGGTAGTTATGATCTTCTATCATCCACTTGTACAGTTTTGTATCCACTAGGTGTAAATATTGCATTTTTCAAAAAACACTTTCTAAAAAGATCATGGTAATGTTTTGTAAACTTTGCATCTATGGTAATCTATAGGTTGTCATAAGAAGTTGGTGAATAAAGCATGGTGTACTGGTGAAGGGTTTTCCTCATTTTTTTTAAATTTTGGATTATTAATGATTTTGGTTTTATTAATGAATATAAACGATTTACTTGTTTGAGATGTTTGGTAACATACCTGGGTAAGCAATGCATCAACCACAATGAATGTCCATCAACACTTTGGCTCAACACAATGAAAATGCTAGTAAAAGGAACACAGATTAAAAAAGAAAAAAAGTATTCTGACAAAAAGAGGAAGGCACACACACAGTTCCATTATTTACACATGTTTCAAGGTTATTATTTTAGTATAATGTAATAGCTTAACCAGAACAAGTTGCTTTAACATCATAGACATACCGTATGTCTTTATGAATTTCTTCATGTTAAAGGTCTACAAACAATCAAGCAAATCTGTTTTGCCCAGATGCAAAATAATAAGAATGAAAAGAAAGCTTGAGTTGACAAATGCCTCAAGTGCAACACTGACATCTGCCTCCAGCATTTTGACTCAAACTGAAAGCAGCAATTCTGTGGTAGAAGAAAGAGCTGCAATTAAACCCCCACTCCCAGCTGCCTTAATAACAGCCACCGCACACAGTCCAAGTCATATATCCCCCCAACACACCTGTTGTGATGTGGAGGTGACCTGTTTTACGCCTGACAGGTCCTCTATCAAAGGACAGCTTATTTACAGTAGCAAGACATTTGTGCGTCATATGCTGGTGATCAGCGGTGTATGGAAACCCATACAATCTTAACTGTGATTGGGGGAAATTGTCAGTTTACATACTAGAGACATATATGGTAGGATCTTTCCTGGTACAGAGAAAGAGCTAAATGAGGAGGAGTAGTAAGAGGATGAAGATTGTACAGGTGTCCTGGTTTAGAAGACAGAAAGGGAGGGCCAACATGATGTGGGTCGACGGAGACGAATGACTGTAATTTCCCCTGCTGTCATTTGTTATGGTTCTGGTGGAAGGCAGTGATTGAGTTAGGACTGGCTATGAATGAGCAGATAATCTACACAAGCTGGCACATGGGATGTGGGTGGGGGTGCAAGTTCACTATAGTCTCAGTGTTCCCCAAAGGATTTTGAGATACTTTGGTAGGGGACCTCAGACCCGCTAAAGGAGTCCAGGAGGCTAGATAGAACTTTGTGCTCATTAACTGTTTAGTGTTCTTGCAGTGGTAGAATGTAACTAAGTAGATCTAGGTTACTAAAGTACTGCACTTAAGTACAATTTTGAGGTACTTGTCCTTTACTTGAGTAGTTCCATTTTATGTAACTTCATACATTGAGTCCACTCAGAGGGAAACATTGTACCTTGAACTTCACTACAATTATTTGACAATATTAGTGACTAGTTAGGCTACATTGCAGATTCAATAACTTAGACATTATAAGGATGTATTCAGTAGTATATAGCCTAAATAAAGTAGTTAAAATGAGCTCCATCTTTACCAGCTGCAACATTAAAGTGACAAACACATTAATGCTTCAATAATTATATTCCAATGGCATCGGCCTACCCTAAATATCAATTGGCCATTTTGCATAATGAGTATTTATTTTTGGGCATTTAAAGTATATTTTGATGCTCATACCTTTGTTATTTTACTTAAGTAACATTTTGAATGCAGGACTTTTACTATAACAGTATTTTTACACAACGCTCTAGTAAATAATTTAATCATCAACACATCGGTTGAATGAATATCAATGGGGATGACATGGCAAAAAAGTCAGTCAACAGTCACACCGGGAACAGGGGGCTCCATCACTCCAAGCAGGAAGAAAAGACAAAGCAAGCACTAAGTTCACGACCCCTGGAAGTGGCGAGGTCCAGGAGGAGGGTGCTGTACAGATGACTCAGCCGGGACCACGAGCCACGTTCTGAGCAGAACTAGTAGCATAGTTACTAGACAAAAAGTGACATGGCCTGGCTAAAACTATGGTTCATCTACACCTTTGTACGTGTATTATCAATGATGTGCAGGGAGAAAAAATAACGCTCGAACAAACAATGCTGCCATGTTAATCATAACAAATAAACATTGCATTCTGAAGCCTACTGGTGTGTTTCTCCAACCCAGTGTATGAATGGTTCAAATTGGTGTCAACACAAAGAAAGAGTAATCTATTGTAATCTTCTCAAACAAATATCTTGCCTTGGATGTTGGGTTTGTCTTGCTAACAAAGCCATGTAGCGCAGTAAAACATGACATTATACGATTAAATGGAATGGGCCTTGTTTTTCTATTCTTATCCTAAACTCTATACTGTTTTTGTGATGCTTGTTCGTACAAGTTCATCAAGCTTTCTTAACTGCCAGTGAGAATATTATGCAGTTGGTGATGTCACATTGTTGCACCAACAATGTGACATGTACAAAGAGCCTGAGGCAGCTGTCGGAGTGAGAGCATTTTCAAATCATCTATCAAACTACATAGGCTGCTATGCCAAAACATGGCAATAAAAAAAATGATAAGCAAAGCAATTTATGGTGACATTTATTCTCCACATTCATTCAGATTAAGGCATCATGATCTTTAAATCAACATGTGTTTGAGTAAAAAGGCAGACACTCCTGGACTACTTACTAAATTCCAAATACGAGACAATTGGTGAATATGTAAAATAGTCACTTGTACAAGCCTTTTAACAACAAATCGGTTTGTATGAGTAGTTCTTGCTATCCAATGATTTCAAAATATGAATCATTTTCAAAGCTTTGCATGTTTTCCGATGTTTTAAGTACTCTCGTCTCGTGTTTTGAGTTTGAGAGTGTGTGTGTGTGTCTCAAGGTTTAATCTGATCTGCCCATGTTACAGCTCTTCCACGAAGACGATAACAACATTGTAGAGGCAACAGGTTGCTCTGGGGGAGAGCGTGAAGGCTGACCATTACTTAGTGTGGAGGAAGGTTCTGGTGGCAAACACTCTGAATCTCAAGGCTGTCTGCAACAACAGGAGATGACTACAACATTGACCAGGATATTGAAAGTGGAATAGCACGCTTATCCACAATATGCAACCATCAATTCAGTCAGTCTCACAGCATTATCAATCCTGCGAAGCATCAGTCCTACATGCAAATATTTAAAGCTCTACATTTCAATGTGTTTTTAAAACATTTACACACACGGTGTACATACACTCATATGCCACTATATTAGGTCGACCTGTCTTCATTGGATAGGGCCCTTTGCCCCGAGAACAGCCTGCACACTTTGTGGCATAGATTCAACATGGTAGTGCTGGGCGGTATACCGGTTCTAATTTCCCATAGGATATGAATTTTTCACACACCGTCATACCGGTGCATAGCCGAAACAACTGCTGTAACTCTTCAACAGGCAGGTCCCAGGTCCCAGTCCTGGGCCGGACTGGGACCCAAGCAGTGGGGACTCTGCCTTAAGGTCTACCCGTCATTCCTATCAGTATAAATAGCATGTTTAATGGTGGAGAGTGTGCCCAGGAAACCATGCCTGGTAGCATAGCATAGTTTAAAAAGTCCAGAGAGAGAGACCATGAATTTTAAAACAGAACATTACGTCTTACAACCTCAAAAAATACTTCTTTACCTATATGTTAAATAAACTCTTTCTTAAAAAGTAGTCTTCCAGTATGAAAGAAAGGAGTCTGTACAGTTTTTTAAAGTGCTTAGTGACACATTTGGGATTGTAATAAAGGCCCTCTCCACTACAAGCATTTGTTGCACTTTGTATACAGGACTGCTTCAAGGAATGAGACACCCACTCAAAGGGTTGAATGTTTTATTGAAATGCGTTTGGATTTCAATTTTGGTATTGGGATATTCAAGTGTTTCTTTGTATTTGTTTTGGAAATAAAATGAAAGAATCCTTGAAACTGAAAGAGCGGTCCATATCAGCAGAGAAGCTTCTGTCATGGGGACGAGCAGAGCAAGAGCCCTCGTCACCATTGCATATGTCAGAGTGTTCCCCGATTCAACCTTAGCTTTCAGAAAAAAATACAGACACAATTTTTCTGTTATGTTCTTTAACATTTCTCTGAAGAAACTAAACTCGGAGAATGACGACTATTTGCGTAACATATATTTCTGGAATATGCCACCGTAGATTTTGCAGGTTAAGCTGGAGTACTTATGGCATACGACAGAATACACTCAGCATTGGAAAAGGTGCAGCGGCCCTCGAGACGCCCACGGCCGACCACCTAGACCTGCCGGACCAAACGCCACCGAACTGCCGCAGGGAGGTGAGGGAGGAGAGCCGTGATGGAAGCTAAGCTAACCCAGCTAGGACCTGAGGCACTCCACTACCCAGCCTACTTGTAGCAGTCTGAGGTTCGGTCATAGGAAAATAGGATGGATGAAATAAGACTTCTGGCTAACCCAGCGACGGGAGGCCAGTGACTATTGAGCCCACATCTTTACAAAGACCTGGCTCTGATCTGATCAAGCAGCACTTGACGGGCAGACAACAGAACAGAGAGCAGGACTCTGGTGGGACCAGAGGAGGTGGACTCTGTGTTTATCATGATGCTTGGTGCTCAAACACAGTCAGAGTTGATTGACACGGTTTTCCTCATGTCCTCATTTATAAATGTGAAGATGTCGGCCATATTATCTGCCCAGAGAATTGTTTTTATTGCTGCTGTTTACATTCCTTATGACACAAATAAAGAAAATGCACTACAGGAACGCACCACTGTTTTTGTTTTGTCTGTCATGTTTCTCTTGTGTTGCAAATGGGCTACAACTGCATTTCATTGTGCATCCCTGTGTTGCATAATGACGATAAATGATCCTTGAATCCTTGAACCAGATGACTGCAGACATGACTTCAGGCATTAGCAAGTTAAAACTAACTGTTGAGGTTGAAAGACCAGTTCATACAAAAGGGGAGTTAAAGTATGTCAGTGTGTGCTCTTTATATTCTAGAGCTCAGACTGAACACAGAATCCCCTCAGTAGCTGCAAAACATAAAGGTTTGGAGAAGGATCAGAGGGTTTGGAAAGTAGTTAATAATGACAGTTTGGGAGATGAGTACTATATTTCCTTGAAGTAACAGAAACAGTAAAATAGGACTCTTTTCTTGCCTGACTTTCCTGAGAGAAAGTAGCTATGTGGGGCGTCACCAAATTGTGTAGAAGAGTTCTCTCTCAGGGCTGAGCAGCAGTAACACGACTAACCTCGTTAACATCGACTAAGACAACAAGCAGCTCTCGGATCCTCGTCTCTGAGCAGGAAAGACGAACAAAGAACGTAGCAACCCTGAACTGGCCAGATGTAAATGGAGTAATTCACTATATTTCAGCAAATCCAGTCTCTTTTATCTACACTGCCACAGAGAACAAATGAAAGGTTAATATGTTCAAATGGCAGCTATCACTGCTTTAAAGTTCCCTTTTTTACCTCCGGGACCAAAACCCAGATAAGTCTTCCTTTGAACCCTGAATAAAACACTCAATGCAATAAAACCATCAATTTCACTTTCTGTTACGCTTTCACATTAATGGGCTCCCTCACAAAAATTGGGATACCACACACAAATAAACTTGATGAAACGCATGGTCTGCTCTGTCAAACAAGAATGAAATAAACACAATGTTTTTACCTACAAAGTCCCACTACCCCAAAATACTCACAAGAGCATTAAATGTGGATTAATCCAACACTGAAAATAGTCTTAAACAAATCAATATTTCCTCCTGTTTTGAGCATTGTTTGCTAAAAACTACTGTTTTGAACATATATTTCTGGGGTGTGTTATTAAAATTATATTTTCCAAATCCCATCTTTGAACGCACCCTTTATTTTGATCTCAACCACATAACCTTGAAGTGTTGTGCCTGCATCTTGCACAGTTAGGATGCTTTCACATTGACAAAATTTGTCCACAGTATAAAAACCAGACTCACAGGCAGAACAAATGAAAGGTTATAATCAACTTTCATGAACTGAAAACACACGGTGAAAGGGTTAAAGTTGTAAGAGGAAAACATGGAGGACTACTAGATCAGACAATGCCGTGGTAGTAGGGCTGCAAGATTATGGCCAAAATCATAATCGCGATTATTTTGATCAATATTGAGATCACGATTATTTATCACGATTATTCATTAATTTTAGGGCCATCTTTTTATTGCACTTTCACGTTTAAATGAACAAGAGCACTGCTTCCACTTCCATTGTTGTGCTACATTCCAGCTAATGTACACGCCTCTGCATCAAAATACAACGTATACAGTACTGATCACCTGAAGCAAAATATAAACAAAATGTTTACCCAAAATAAAGGGCTAACTAAAAATAAATATGTCTGTTGCTCACAGTATTTATTGGACACGTCTTTGGCCAAATGAAATACGATTGCATCCGTTATTTCAGCGTGTCTTTGGGAGGTCGATGGATACGCTGTCGCGCTATGCAGGGTCGCTGTTATGGTTTTCTGGGTTAACGTTGGACATGGACGGAGATTCAGTGAGGTATCGTTAGTTTTGGCCTTAATGCATTCATCGTACTGTGGTTTGTGGTGATTTTTCAGGTGGTTGAGCAAGTTAGTTGTATTGCTATGCGGCGCAGACACAACTCTAACGCACTCTGTGAATATGATTTGTTCTTGGTTAACATCACTTGGCCTAAATCCAAAAAACTTCCAGACAACGGATGATGATCCTTTTCAAGGCGCTAGCTCCTCGCCTTCTGCTCCTGACATTAGATTTACCTTTCACACGACACCCGTGACCGTCTGTTCTGTTGTCTGTCTCTCTATTCTTCTACTCGACTGCAGACAGAACTTTCTTTGAGGCTGCCGCTGCAAGGTGCGCGCATGACATCTCCCAACTCGTTCGCCCCCTGGTGGTCGGCTGACTGCTAGTTGAGGAAGAGCTTGATTTGATATGTAGCAGAGCACTTATTTTAAACGTCAATATCGCTGACGATCATGCTCATTTAATCGTGGCAGCCAAAATCGTGATCGCGATTAAAATTTGATTAATTGTGCAGCCCTACGTGGTAGTGACCTCTCAATCACCGTGTAGCCCCGCCCTAAAGCATCCCCTGCTTTATGGTCTGTCTGACTCTAAATGGACCATAATGTACTAAATGAACATCATGCTGTTTTGAAGAAGACTTGAAACTAGAGATTGAGACCATAAACTCATGTTTATAATGTTTACTGAGGTAATAAATCAAGAGAGAAGTAGTCATTTTCTCATAGACTTCTATACAACCAGAGGAGTCGCCCCCTGATGGACATTAGAGAGAATGCAGATTTAAGGCAGTTCCGTTTTGGCTTCACTGTTCAGACCCGGACGTTGTTGCCTGGTCTAAAGCAATACTTAGAGGCTCTGTGAGGCTTACCTAGCTCAGGGATGCTAACACAATCATTATTAAAGCTGCGAGCAGCGATGAACGGGCCCTCGCACCTTCCCGCGTCTCGGGGATACTGGCGGGACGCCGGCAGAAGCGGACATAAATATCTGCGACCATCAGACAGCGTGCCCACAAATTAGACATATTTTTAATGCTTGGACTGTGTGACGCTGGAAATTATGTAGTGCAAATATTCCACCAGTTCCTGTATCCCCTTTGTGGCGCTAGAGAACACGCGCAAACATGCATTGTGTTGCTCTACATCAAGTATAGACCACATCATGTAAATGTCATATACAGTAAATCGGATTCAGTTTGTCACATAACGCTGTCTTCCTGTTGCCAGTAGGTGGCGCTATGACTTTGAGTGAAAATTGGCTTGTAGACATCCTCAGGCCATGACTGTTATCAAATATGGCAAGTTTGGGACATATTTGAGCAAGTCCAGTGGAGTTACATCAGCTTGTTGTTTAATAGCGAATCACCTACAATGGCCGCCACGTCACGGCTACGCCATTCTATCAAACGTAAAGCTTTGAGTAACTATTAATTGCAAAGGTCTTTAGATTATACTGACCAAATTTCAAAAGGATCTGGCAAAGTCTCTAGGAGGAGTTCGTTAAAGTATAGCGACTAGAAATCATGGGAATATTCACACAAAAATCAAAATGGCCGACTTCCCGTTAATTTTAGAGCATGGTCCCGAGACACTTTTTTTTAAGTCTTCATGTGATACATGTGCCTACCAAATTTCATACATGTAGGTCAAACGTAGTGCTGGGGCTGTGATTTTGAATATTTGTAGGGGGCGCTATCGAGGCAATTTGAAAGGGTCAAGCCAAAAAGCCATATGAAATATTTATTTCCATCACCTATGACACCTGTGCAAAGTTCCAAGGCTTGTTGAGCATCCTAAGTCACAGAAAAATAAGCTTAATTTTTCATGGCGAATGACGCATTGCCACGGCAACAGCGTTTAACGACAACACACAATATTCATGATGAAGCATTATCAATGTCTTACGGCTTAGCTTACCAAATTTGAGACTGATCTGGGCAACTTCCTAGTCAGAGTACATCAAAGTATAAAACTTGTCATTTCCTTTTGCCAGTAGGTGGCGCTATGATTTTGTGAAAATGTTGCCATGGAAATGTGCTCAGGCCTGGACCAGCATCATGCATAACAATTTTGGGGCAGATTGAATAAAGTACCTTGGAGTTACAACAACTTCCTCTTTCATGGCGAACAGCACGAAATGTGCGCGACATGGGCGCCACATAAAACGAAGGTCATTCAATGTCAGTAGACCATTTTCGTAACTTTTTATCATTAATGTCTTTAGATCATCTTAACCAAATTTGAAGTTGATCGTATAAATTCTGTGGGAGGAGTTCGTTAAAGTACAATGCCTGAAAACGATGAAAAATGACTAAAAATGCAAAGAAATGGGAGTATTACTGCATCGCCCCCTAGTGGTTGTATGGAATGAAAATTTGAGGGCATGTTACAGGACACAATGTGAACATATGCTACAGATTTCGTGATGATAAGCCATATGGTTTTGAAGTTATATATATTGCTGTAGAAGGCCACGCCCTATGAAGTTCATTGGTCCATATATTCTTAATACAATGACATCTCAATTAGCTTTTAGTAACTTTTAATTATATTGATCCAATAATGATCCACAGCAAATTTGGTACCAATCAGACCCAGCGTGTAGGAGGAGTTTGCCAAAATGTGTTTTTCACAAAATTCAAAATGGCGGGACATTTTGGTAGGCGGAGCTTAGGGTTCTGATTGGCTTTTTTGTAGAGTAGGCGGAGCTGGACATGTGTGTCGAATTTCAAGTAAATCAGACATACTGGGTGAGAGGCGCCGCAAGGCGTTGCCGGTCAGAATGCTAGGGGGCGCTAGCGAGCAATTTTGTCATGCTCGAGCATTAGACCCATAAAATATCAAATTTTCCCGCAGTCCTGATACGCTCACCAAATATTGGGGTGTTGGGGACATGATAAAGCCTCCAAAAAGGCGTTTCATTCGAGATAATAATAATAATAATAATAATAATTATTACCCTCGCAACTTCACGCACGGCGAGGGTACTGGCAGGACTCTGGCCATGCATTTCTGTGACCATCATACACTGCGTGCACGAGTTAGATGATATTTGCTGCATCGACCAGCAGCGTAGCAAGATCATGTTGCCAGGTCTTAAGCCTCAAATGTTTTGAGTGTACCTCCGATACAATCATAAATGTAAGCCTGTTAAGATCATTAAGGAAATAAATGTG